GAGAGGCTTATTTTCACAAACATTGCAAACATTTTGAATTGTAACAATCCTATGCATGTTCATTCATTTTCATCACACTGAAGTCATCATGTTTAGCTTGTAAAAACTTTCCAAAGAAGAACTTACATAACCTTCAAATTTCCATGATTTATATTAAACATAGAGAGGCTTATTTTCACAAACATTGCAAACATTTTGAATTGTAACAATCCTATGCATGTTCATTCATTTTCATCACACTGAAGTCATCATGTTTAGCTTGATTATCGTGAAGATTACAGCCTTCCTTTTTCAAGTGAAGGGCATCTTTATAATCAGGTAAAACTCCCCAGAGCAGGCATTTACTAACTGTAATAAACACTGTACCACTTATTTTGCTCCATCAGCAATACAAATGTCAGTCCCTAGACATAAGTAATCCTATCAAAAAATTAAAACATTAGTTTTCCTTACATTCCATTTCTATTTTTAATTACAGAAAGCTCTTGCTCTTTGATTAAAAATTTCTTTAACCATGACATGAGAACTACTATTATATCAAACTCTCTACAGCTGACTATCACATAAAAAAAGCTTTGGAAATCTGGTATTTTTTTCTTCTAGTTGTTAACAATTTCATTCTTTCCAAAATTTGCTAAATAAGACCGTTTTGTTAAGTATTCAAAGACCCTAAATACGGAAAGATCCTAACAACTTCATAAGTATTATTCACAAGTGGGATTGAAGATTTCTTTATTCTTTAAAGTAATAATTCTCAAACCACAATTCAAAAAATCTCAGAAATTAGTCTGCAAAATCCCTGCAAAACAAATATGCACGTATCACTTTCTCATGCATGTAAGCAAATAAGAAAAGGTGAGAGATGACAGTTATTGAATTCGCAATTTTAGGTTCACTTTGTTGGTGCTGTAAAAGACGACAACTGTGACAAAACTGTACAAGACAATCCATTTATTCCTCCTCCCCACTACTGAAAGAGTTGACTCTTTTAGTAAATACTGAGAATCACTTCTTACAGTGGTTCTTAGAATTGTTAATATTGCTATGCCAGACTACACCATGATCAAGCTTTAGCAACTGTGACCTTTATCAGATTACAGTTCTGAAACCAGAATCAGTATCTAGAAAATGCAAGGCACCTCTCTTCTGGTTAAACAAATTTAACTACAAGTTTCTTAGTGCATCATAAGCAATTGAAAAATAGAAATAGAATTTTCTATCCACTTACCCATATAGAAAACAGATTGTAACATCAGAACTTGCTTCCTTTTTCTGAAAACTCTTCTAATCTTTTTTTCTAACAGGTAGAGCACAAAGTTTGATTTCCATCTTGTTTTATGCATAAGGCATGAAAACATTGTAACTTCTAACAGGGAAGCATGAGGAGAATAGTTCATCCTAATTTCCTTTTCAAAGGAAGTGTCTCCTTTTACAAATAGAACACTGAGAAAAATAATACTGCTTTTAAAGTGGCCTTGCTTTTGTAGTGGCCTCTACATAGCTTCATAGCATTTAGACCTGTTTCAAATACATATGGAATTCATCAGTAATATTCAAATGTTTTATACATGATAGTGCATGGAAGGATTAGTTTTGCCTAAATTCCCATGAGAATTGGAAGCAGGGGGTGAAAGCAGAAGCAGGGAAGTAGATTTTCAATGAAATAATGCTTTTTTGCCTCAACAGGAGTAAGAAAGTAATACCTTCTTAATCATTTTGACATACTGAAGGCACATGCAGTAGCACGGAATCAAGCCATACTCCCAGCTATTTCCAGCAACCTGCAAACATTAATTTATTCTTACAAGCCCAAATGCTGAAACTGTGACAGGAGAATATGAGCTGGGGGAATAAGCAACAAAAATACAGCTCACAAACACACCTTTCACTGAAAGGTCTGTTGAACCAGAGCATGGCATTTCTAATAGTCTCTCAAGGACACAGGAAAGCCTCTGTTACTCTTAACACTTCAAAAATCCTATTTTACCAACATGCACTGACACCAGATATTTCAGTCCAGCAACACATAATGTACATCAGCCACATACCTCAGAATATTTAAGCTATTCTAATAAGCAGTATTTTAAGAGAAAGGCTTTAATTTTTATTCACTCAAGTTTACAATGAGAGCTACAGGCAAAGCTGGAGTTTCCCAACAAAAGAGTTCATATCTGCAGTGCAAAATACTATTAAAATAATTGATGAAGACACTGCAATAGACATTTTCCTTTAATCAACTCAGACAAACAAAACAGTATATAACAGTAGGAACTCTTTTGTAATATCCCTAAATAACCAACAACAGTTGTTTGTCTAAACAGATTTTGCATTTCCAAGGTTTTTCATCAAAAGAAACAGAATGAGTTTAAGTCAAAAGGGAAAAAGTTTTGACTCTAAGTTATAATGACAATACAACAACTGTGGGATGAAAGCATTTGCAGAATTTTGGACAACTTATATTCTGCATTCTCCACAGCATGTACTTAATGGGCAAATATCAAACTGCCTGTTAAAAGAAAATAGGATAATTTACATGTATGTGCCTGTATAAAGTTTAAGTTACAATGAAACTAATTTAATTGCACATAATTTCTTTTAAAATTATAAATAATAAACAATCCAAATATAAATATAAATATAGATATAAATATAAATATCCCTTAACCCACAATTTGTAGCTATGGTATTTAACACCAGCCTCTAATTTTGTGTTATTTAAGCTAAGTCATTGTCTTTGTTATACATCTGTGACTCCAGGAACTCACATAATAAGCACAGACAAGAAGAGTCAAAATGGTTTTTAGCATGCACAAACACTGCATGTCCTCATGGTGGCAGTAATACAGAAAGCTACATTTTTGAGCAATCCATACAGGATTTTCATACTTGGGTTATTGAATTTTAACTATGTCCTCAACTACTTATCATAAGCATTAATTCAATGCAATTATTTTTCACTACCACATAGTTTTCCAGATGCAGTGTTCACAAATGGAACAAGGCACAAAGTCCCCAGGTCACTGTAGTTTGCTGCGGTTTCTATAGCAAGAAGCCACATCTTAAAAGTAGTTAGTAGGTTGTAAAGGTTCTAGAGCAAAGTTTATGAATAAAAGCATTTTTTGACCACAGTTATTTTCATCTGAAGTCAATAATGTGATGAGAACAGACTGCACCTACAATTCACATAAGAATCAAATGTAGCCATTGCTTTTCTTATTACTGAAACATTTAGGGTTAATTATCACACAATTCACCAAGAATACAACATATTTTTAACATCAGTGTTATTGCCCAGATGGCCAGATAAGGCAGATAAGACCTTATCTGAAGAACCCAAACTATGCTCTTATCTGAAGAACACAAACTAGGGAACTGATAAGATGCATCCCACAGTCTTGAGAGACTTGGATGACGTAGTTGCTAAGCCACTCCCTGTGATATTTGAAAAGTCATGGCAGTGAGAAGTCCCAGGTGAAGGGAAAAAGGCAAACATTGTACTCATCCTTAAAAAGCTCACAGAAAACCCTGTGAACTACCAAACAGTCAGCCTCACCTCTGTACCTGGAAAGATCATGGAACAGATCCTCCTAGAAGCTGTGCGAAGGCACACGGATAACAGGAAAGCAATTTGGGACAGCCAGCACGGCCTCATCATGGGCAAGTCCTGCCTGACCAAACTAGCAGCCTTCTGTGATGGAGTGACTACACCAGCAGACAAGGGAGGGGCTGCAAATAACATTTATCTGCATTTCTGTAAAGCTCTGACACAGTCCCCCACAAATCCATCTCTCAAAACTGCAGAGAAATGGATACAATGGATACAATGGGAGAACCATTAGATGCATAAAGAATTGGCTGGACATCTGAATTCAAAGGGTAGCGGACAGTGGTCAACTAAAAGACAGGAAGATTCATCTCTACATGAGGAAGAACTTAATGCTGAGGGCTGCAGACCACTGGAACAGGCTGCCCAGGAAGGTTGTGGAGTTTCCCTCTCTGGAGGCATTCAAAACTCACCTGGTTCCTCTGTAACCTGCTTTAGGTGACTCTGGCAGGGTGATTGGACTGGATGATCTCCAGAGATTCCTTTCAACCCTAACAGTTCTGTGATCCTTCCCCTCTGCTTCACTCTGATGAGACCCCACCTGCAGTGCTGCTTCCAGCTCTGGGGTCCTCAGCACAGGAAGGACATGGATCTGTTAGAATGAGTCCAGGGGAGGGGCACCAAGAAGATCAGAGGGATAGAACACGTCTTATATTAGGAAATGCTGAGAGAATTGGAATCGCTCAGCATGGGAAAGAGAAGGTTTTGGGGTGACCTAATTGTGGCCTCCAGTACTTGATGGGAGCCTACATGAATGAGAGGAACTTTTCACAAGGCTATATGGTCACAGGAGAAAGAGGGATGGATTCAAACTGAAGAAGAGTAGGTTTAGATTAGAAGTAAGTTTAGAGAGAAAAGATTAGAGTAAGTTTAGGAGAAAATTCTTTACTGTAAGGGCAGTGATGTCCTAGAATAGGCTGCCCAGAGGAGTCATGGATGTCCCATTGCTGGAAGTGTTCAAGGCAAGGTTGGATGGGACTCTGAGCAACCTGGTCTACTGGAAAGTGTCCCTAGTTGGAACTAGATGCAACTAGATATTTAACGTCCCTTCCAACCCAAACCATTTTATGACCTATGATCTAATGCATCCAAAATTTTGAGTCAAAAATACTTAACAGCTTTAGTAAACCTTGTTAACTTACCTGTGTAATTACACATTTTTTCAGCTGTGTTTGTAAACTGAAGCAGACTGAACTTCTCTTGTTGTAACACGAAGTTACATGACTTAATCCTCACACACACTATTCCCCAAGTTTAGAAGTCCTGTGTGGTTAGGGTTTTTTTAAAAACCATAACTGCACTTTCTATTTTTTAAACAAGATTGCTAAAACTACCTTAATGAGAATTTAAAAACAACAGACATGTGCAACATAAATACAGAAAGTAACATACTTACAGCTTCAAATGATAAGTTAACATGTTCCAGGAATTTCTGCATTAAACTTTCAGTTAGTTGACTGAAGCGATATCGGAAGAGATCCATTTCTTGTTGAAGAAACCAACGCCTGAGATCCTCACTAAAAAATAATAATAATAATTCTGAATATACATTATGTTTTTGCTTGAAAACTAGACCACAAACCTAGTGAACACAACACTAATGCTGACTTTAGCATGTGACCCACACACACTGAGAAGCTTGGAAGTAAAGGCAGGAAACCTTCAGTAACACATTCAATCAGAAAAGACTTGTGGAGAGACAATAATTTTTACCTGTTTTGGATAAAAATAACTGTAGATAACATTCTCCCTTGCTATTTAAAGTAGAGGTTTTATCTACAACATGGCACAATATTTCTTTATTTTACATTTAACATCACAATTAAAGTGATGAGACAAATATATTTTGAAGGCTACTTCTTTTAATTCTCACTTTTGGTGTATCTCCAGCTGAAGAAATATGCATACATCTCAATAAATGTGAAGAACAGTGCATTCTAATCTAGGCAGCAAACAGCCTGCAAACAGGAAAAATGAAAATATATGGCAATGAAGCTGGGTGAGGAACACAAATTGAACATTGAACTCTTGACAAAAGAGAAAAAGGGGTTTAGGTGAACAAGTAGAAGAACAAACAGGAACACAAGGACAGGAGTCAGAAGATAAAATAAAACAACACTGAAGCCCATCCAAGTACTTTAAGTACTCATGGAACTCTTCACATCTTAGTGCTCAGATTCCCAGGCATCAGCACATTACTCAAAGCTACAGCAAGTAGGTACCAGAGTGACAGTAAAAAAAGCCACCCCACATGTGCAAGCACAGAATGCAGATGATGCTGTATCTCACTACCACAGGGCACTCTCTTAAACTGTCCTCTGAGAGCTACCCTGTGGGCCACTGCCCTGGGAATTCACAGAGCACAGAAATACTGCAGTCATATATATGCTCTCTTTACAATATTTAAACATCTTTTCCCATAGGAAATATGTGAATCACAACAAAGTGTTTGTGGTTTTGTGGACAAAACCTCTGCTTGAAATATGGCTTAAGGAAAAGTAATTATTACATAGAACAGCCAAACAGAAAGGCTGTTAAAGTGCTCTGTAAAATATAATCCTGTGGACAGCCTCAGTGCTTGGGATGTAATAATAATCAGTGCAACTTAAAATGGAAGTTAATGCTGTAATGACTGATCTGTTGCAGTTCTTCTGTGGCCATCTTGGACTGTAGTTAAATCCTGGGATGTGATAATTTTTTTCCATTTTCCTTGATTTACAGCACACTTGTTTTCCTGTGGGGGGGAACCAAACAAAACAACACCACCACACACACATAAAAAACAAACAAACCACAAACATGATTATATATAATTTCTTTGGAGGCCAGGCAGTCTGTTGTTCCTTTCCTTCAGGAAAACAGATCAAAGGCTGTAATCCCACCTATCCACGTAAGTTACCATAACAAGAAAATACTATTTTATCTTTTATACATCCACCTATGTGGATTCTTCCTACAGCTGACAAAATAGCTGACCTCACACTTCTGGATATGTCCAGCAAATACTTTTAAACTGACTTTCCTAGGATCATCATCATTAGGGCATTATACATCACTTCTAAAGCCAAAGCATATTTTATACTCATTATTCACTTGAAGAAAATTGTACACTCTCATCTCAAACTCATACTAAGAAACAACACTTATTATCAAAACCCCATGCTTAACTGAAAAGCAATGTCACTGTCATTAGACAGCTCCAGCAGCAGCTTGGTTAGTTAAGGGAGTAGCAGGTCACTGCAGTGTAGATGTTAAGGATATCTCCTCAATTTTTGCCATTTAACTTTCTGGTGTGCAGATTACTTAGCAGTTTAAACCAGTTCATAGATTCCCAACTTGAAAAATAATAGAAGAAAACAGTCTCTTTCATATAGGGAACAGCACTTGAGGGGCTGGGGTTGGAATAGAAATACTCTCCACTCCAAGGAGGGGTAGGAAAAATCAGCATAATTGTTAGGAAGCATGAACATAAAGTAGTTTAGGGGAGGCATGCAAATGCTTGTAAATCTGGAATTTTAGACTAGTAGCTCCCATTCCACAATTAATACAAGAGTTCCAACAACTTAACAGTGATTTATGAAAACTCCGAGCATGGGTCAGATCACTACTTTTCTAGGCAACTAACACCAATGGATTACTCAGGGTTTAAGTTTTAAAGACTAGACAGCAAGGGGAACATGGGTACAGATAACACATAAGAGGAAATGCTACTCAACATAAAGAGGCAGCTATTTTAGCAGACAAGTCTAATTTATCATCTAGGAAAAAAAATGTCAGGGAGTAGTGAACAGGCCTTGCTAAGTTTGAAATAGAATTTATAGCCTCGTTATGTTACATAGACACAAATCAAACAAAAAAAAAAAAACTTTAAAAAGGCACAAAAGAATGTTTGAAAGTTTCCTGGATAAAAGGAATTCCTGCTGTCAGAACAGAGGTTAAATTTATTTCTTCTGTGTTAAGAAAGTAAAGTGAAAAATATGCTCCTGTGACTTTTAAGGTTCTTCAGAGCTGATCTGCTGAAGTGACAAGAGCTGCAGTAGACAAAAGCAAAAATGCACACTCCCATCCACATACAAATAAAATTATCTTTACATCTGCATCTGCCAAGCAGATGAAACAAAATTATTGTATTTCCTGGTCTTGACAGATCTAAGTGACATTAGAAGAGGCGTGAAAGAAGGGTACGGATGAGACCATTCTCTTGAGACTGTAAATACCCTGTCATATGAAAACAAGCTTTAAAGTCTTGGATTTCAGAAAGCAGAAAAAGAAAAGTCAAGAGATGACGACTACCTTACAAATATAACTGACCAGAATGGTGGAGCTGGCCACTTCAGATCACATAAAAACCAAATCAAAATAATCCAATTTGCAAGTAAGGACTGATAGAAACTAGAAAAGAAGAATTGATATAAACTTTTACCCCTGGATGGCACTGTTGGCCAACTGAAAACTGAAAAAGCACTATCACAGGAAACACTAAACACATGTTCACACAGCTGCCTCAGGAACTGAATTCAACCTAGTTTGCAGTTATGTCTATTCAAGTGCACTTTTTCAATCACTCCTACTTTCTTCTTCAACTTTCTTCAGTTAACCTAATGATTTGTGCCAAGCTTATTTTTCTGACCTAGTATGATAAAAACATAAAGTACAGTATATTCTATTTGCCTCCCAGTTTTATCTTTTGGAAACTTGCCAGCTGTAGATGAGAGAAATATCCCTACAGTAGCTGCTTTTCAAACGAGAATAGAGAACACTGGGTACAGGCTCACTTCATAGTTCTTAGAATGTTATTTTCCATGTAAGCATTAAATTAATCTTTTCAAAGTAAAAGTAGAAAGCCAAAAAGCTGACCAAAAGCTGCTTTATCAAAATGCAGCTAGTACATAAAAATGGGAACACAAAATGGCATCTGGAAGGTGGCTAAACACTGTCCCAGAGCTCTATTCAAAACCCCTCCTCTAAGGATGTTTTTCCTCACAGATTACAAGGCCAGGCTCTTTCCTGCTGATTCTGTGGCCCAAAATAGCTTGTATTCATTTCTGCACAGCAGTTCACCTTCATCAAGCTGCCCATTTCTGCCCTGCCTATAGTGTAATTTTTAAGATACTTCCCTGAAATACTGGGTTTTGTTGCGGTGGATGCTCCAAGTGTGGGGACACGAGGCTTGACTCCATTTTTGTCAGAAGGCTGATTTATTAGGTTATATATTATATTAAAATACTACATTAAAACTATACTAACAGAACAGAAAGAGAGGAAGGATCAGAAGGCTACAAAAGACAAGAATAGAATAGAATAGAATAGAATTTTATTTACTAAGCAAGAACTTCAGTCAAATTCTCACCTTGTTAAGAGCAGAACTTTTATCAACTACCAAGACCCTCAAAGCATCTCACCTCCCAAAAAAAAAAAGCAATGGTCTAATAATAACAAAATGTTCAAAGTAAAGTTTTGGCTTTGTAATTAAGCCAAACTGATTATTCAAAATGCCACTAATACAAACCACTGTTTTCAGGGGCCTTTTAGACCCTAGACTACTTGAGCATACTACCTTTTAGGGGCTTTTGGTAATCTTACAATACACGTAAAGAAAGATAGATATTGTCAAAATCAGCAGGACTAGTATGATTAACAGAGTTTATTAAAATACAACAAACTGGGGCACTAGAAAGAAGTCAATATTACACTTAGGATTCACAATCACAAATTATGCATGTAGAATACAAAGAGATATCAGTTGCAATTCTGTCATTCAATCTTCTCCCTTCTTTCAGCATTTTGAGCTACACTATCAGAGTCACTGCAGTGAAGGCTGGTATTGATCTCCCCACCCACAACCTGTTCCTCCTGGTACATGCATCACGGGTCTAGCAGGCTCATTGACCACACATTGACAAACTGTCTTCAGCACAGCCCAGATGTCTTTTGAAAGGACAACAGGATGGTACATGAATGATCTGGAAAATATCAGGGTGTTTAAAAGTCACCCAGGGCCTGTCATGGTGAGGTTTCATCCACCTGGAGGCAGGCTTTTGAGATCTTTGCTACTTCCTACTCTGATCAGATGCTCTGCAGCAGGAAGCCAAAGCCATTTCAAAGAAAGGCCCCATCTATTCCAGCTCCATATCCCAGCTTAGACCACAATCCCTCCTACTCAGCTTTCCTGTCTGCTTTTGCTCACAAATCTGTATCCATAGGAGTCATGTCAGCTATCACAGCATCATAATATGCATTCTATCACAGTCACTTAATTAAAATGAACTGTATTGCAGCTTTAAGTGCAATTGAATCAACAATTCAACACACTTCATATCTGCCAGTTTTAATTCTAAAAAGACCACAGTGATGAGAACTAAAGAGTTCACTCAAATGTATAATAAGACTACTTGCAAACATGAAGAACTGACAACCTCTAATTTCATCTAAAACCTACAGGGGAAACAAAAGAACATGTTTTACAGGATCAACATTTTGCTTGAAATTTCACATAAAAAAATTGCAGTGCAACCAGCCACAGCAATGAATATAGACAAAAAACAGAGGCAGCAGATGAAACCTCAAACTCAGATGGTATTTTTAGTCAGTCAGAAACAGTGCTCCCTATAAAATAACATAAAGCCTATTTAAATAGTCAGGTCTTTGGTTAGAATGTACAGAAGTTAAACTATGCTCCCAATCACTGCAAATGCCTGACAGTTAATACTGATGTGTGTTCATTTAGTAAAAAGCTAAATTATTTGAGTCAAGAGACTCAAATCAACTGCATGTGTTTCAGAGCCAAAAGTTTGTAAATTTTTTAGTTAGCACAAAATCCAGTTCTTAATTGATGACACAGATCCCTTTTCATCACAGCTTAGATCAGATTCCTAGCAAAAAACCCTCTTTGAGCCTACCTCTCTCTTTAGTAGCCATGGAACTCTAAAGCATCTGTAATGTCTATAATAAAGCACTGCAGTATCTGTATACATTTAAAATTAATAACAAGAGTACAGCATAACCCAAAAAGTACTTACGACTGGCAGTAGGCAAGGCGGAGTATGAAATGAGAGATATGATCTTTTCTTCTTGCCTCATAATCATCCTCAGCCAAAGCCTGTAGAACATACTCTTATTATTTCTGAGAAATAATCTCTCCCAGATTAAAGATTCACAATCAATTTACCATTGCTGTTCAACAGCTATTAATAGTCATCCTTTCGACAATAAATACCAACTTATTGAGGAAGGGGGTTACCCTAAGGGAAGAAAAAGGTCAAAGAAAACCCTCTGAAGAAAAACCCTCTGACAAAATGACAGAACTGCAGTTTTAGAAAGAGTATCTCATAACCTCTACCTTTATTTGTAATTCTTGAATGGTATAAAGAAAATAAAGTGCGAGAGAGTTCTGTGTCTTGATCTTTACTTACTCTGTAGGGAAACTTCAGTTTCCGGAGCTCAGTCTCTAACTTAACTTTGTATGCATCAGAACTTCTTACATAGCTCACACCAAGATTTTCAATTACTTTAAGCACTGGGCAAAAAAAGAAAATGTCCATGTTAGAGACAATATGCTGAAATCAAACCAAATATATGACGGCTTGGGAAAGGCACAAACTGGGGTAAGGCCACAGGAATTGCTTTTAGAGGCATGAGGAGGAAAAGGGAGAGAAATAGGGAGGATAAAGCGTGGCCTGTGAGTCCTGAACAGCTGGCCCAGTTCTGGGATCCATACTGTCAACAAGGAAAGGGAGACAGCTAACTCTGATGGACCAGTCTCAGAACATCGGTTTCAACTCCAATGGAACTCAGATCCCGTTTTCAGGACTTGAGGGGAACCCCTGGCTGCCAGCCACAATGACCTGAAAAGCAATACTGAGACATCAAATATGTCACAGCACCTCTAGAATGTGAAACGTGCTCACAGCACCCCCCCGACCCGTGCAAACCAAAACTACACAATCCCGGGAGCTACAATAAACGCTCATTGTGAAACCTGCCCCAGCTCTCCGGAATGCCCAAAGCAAGGCGTTTTCCATTAACGGGAGCTGCTGGCAGCAGGAGCAGCTCCCGTTTATGTCAGGCGAACACAGCACCCAGGCCTGCCAGGAACACACACAGCCATGACAGGAAGGATCCAGAGCACCGAGGGAGGAAGGAGAAGGGAAAGGGGAGCAGGGGGGACGAGGAAGGGGGCAGGGAGATAGAGACGCTACTCACGCCTCAGGCGGTCGATGGCAAAGCTCTCAAACTCCACCAGGGAGATGCTTTCCGTGGGGGGCTCCAGGTAAAACTGCAGGCTGTGAGGGTACTGCTCCCTCCGGTCTCCAGCCAGCCGCGCATGCCTCTGCCTCGCTCGACTGGAGAACTCCATCTCTCTGGCCCCGGGGCTGCCTCTGGCCCCGGGGCTGCCTCTGGCCCCGACCGCGACCGGAGCCCGCCCGCCCCGCGCCCCGGCTTCCCGCGCTCCGCCGGCCCCGCCCACTTCCGCACAGGGCCGCGCCCCCCGGGCGCCCATTGGCTGCTGCGGCGGGGCGGGGCGGTGCTGGCGGTGCCCACAGCCGGCATGGCGGCCCCGGCACCAGGGGCGGTGGGAGGTTCTGGCAGGTGCCCACAGCTGGCACCGCCGCTTCCGGCACTGGCACATCCTCCACCGTTCTACAGTTTCATAATTGTGTCGCTTTTCCAAGAGAAATGCACGATTTGCTATTTTTGGCGCTGTGTTGGCAATTTTGCCGCAGCTGAGGGTATGTCGTTTTATGTCCCTGCCACAAAATGCTACTTACCGATTTTTCCCTAAAAGTTGCTTAGTGGTCTCGCAGGCAGTTCGGAGCGTAAAAGGGTGGGAAATCAGAACTGGCACACAGTTTGTGCCAGCAAAGTGAGGAAAATCAGTGGTTCAGGCTGCCAAGCGCTGCAGAGCAGCAAAGGACGGTGGCTCGGGGCGGCGGCAGCGCCGTGCCCGCGGGACGCTCCCGGCCGAGCGCGGCTTGAACAAACTCTGCCCTGGAGCTGCGGCCTGCCTCCGCACCAGCCCACAGACTAAACCTGCTGCTGAGCCCGGCTGAGGAGGGGTAATCCACCCTCAAAGCAGGTGGCCGCATCCATTGCCCACAGCGCTCCTGCTAATTCTCTGTGGCGTCTCCTCCTTGGGCTGGGCCAAACCACTGCCACGGCAATACCTGAACGTTTTAGCAGGACAGAAAGTCAAGTTGCACTCTCCAAGACTCCTCTGTAATTTTCTAGAGCAAAATATACTGTTCATATATTTTTATGTATTTATATTTTTGTAATATTTAATACTTAAGCGAAAGCAAGTTCTTAGCTTTATATATATATATATATAAACAATCTGAAGCAACGTTTTTTTCAAATAGCCACTGCCCATCCCACACAGTTTCTTCCCTTCACCACCTGGCTGCAGACTGCTTAGGAATAAGGAGTACATCTGCCAAAATCCTAATATTTGCAAGGAGATGGAGCTTTTGCCTTTGACCCGTGTGTTAATACCCAAGAGGTTTTACAGAGACTGGCAACGCACCGTCCAGAGCAGGTCAGGGAGTTCCATCAGTTCCCGCATTTGCTCGGAGTGCTGTACCCAGCCTGGCCCAGAGGGGGAGAAGTGCGACAATGCTGAGGAGCACGGCAGAATCCAGAGATGCTTTTCATTTTAATTGAACTAAATTTCTACTCATGTTTTAGGGTTTGGCACATAAGCAGCAGAACACCTTTGCAACCATGGTTTGCAGTTTGCTATCCATCGCTAATTCCACTGAGCCACGTGCTGCTGATTTTTGACAGGTCAGCAGCTATGTCTACATATGTTGTTTCCTCTGTTTATTTTTAAGGGTTTTTTCCCTTTCTTGCTGAATATTAATCCCCAAATTGTCTACAAGCAGGTGAAGATCTACCTTGTTTATTTAGGTTTTTTTTTTTTAATTTCAGTTAACTGGTGACACTAACAGCATTGCAAAAAGATTACTTCAACAGAAATTAAGAATCAAAATTAACATCTATATTACTAGACTTAGTTACTATATTACTACACTGAAATAAAATTTACAACTCAAGACTACACCCTTTCACCCAAAAATAATTTTCTTGGGAAAAGAAAATAGACAAGTGAAAATTTTTCACCTTGGGGTAAACCCCTCCCCCCGCTCCCAATTTCAAACTTCCTTACTGGTGCATCTATTGAAACCTACAGATGGTAATATTTCACACTATATTTTGGCTACTTTTTTCTAAATGTATTTTCACGACTTCCACAGTAACATTACCACTGGGGGCTGGTTTTTGAAGTAGTTTTTAAGAGAACTATTGCTGTTGCAACAACCCACCTCACAAGTGTTTTACAACAACAGCCATATGCTCAGCTGTCAAGCTGTCCCCCTCATCCCATGCAAACACAGTCCAAGTCAGCATGCCCCGAACTGTTCTGCTGCTTAATTAATGCACTGTTGGGAGGACAGGGTTAAAAACAGAAGAATGGCAGTGAGGAGGAGGATGAGGACTGGAGATTCACTCAAGTGACATTGCAGCTGGGAATGTCAAGGCCTGGAGAGTAGCACTGAGGGGAGGCCTGTATATTACATCTACTGTTGTTTATACTCTGTTTTTAGAAGCATTTCTTTGTGGAGATAATGTGTTTTGAGAGTCTTGGAGGCACTCTTACAGACATGCTTAAGCTCCCTGGTTTCGGGAGAGAGAGGGTCAAAGCTCAGAGATCATAAAAAAGCCCAGAGGAGATCACAGCATGCTGGTAAATTACAAATGCAGGGCCCTTGATAAATTGGTGCAAACAGCAGGGCTGCCTTTCACTCAGATGGACTGAGCCTAGCAGTGCCTGCCTTCCTGCTTGTGTGTCTGCCAGGGTGTTGCCTTGGGATCTTCCAGTTAGCAAGGTAATGCAATAAATTTCCTCTTTGCATTTTAACTGTGTAAATTTTGTGCTTGTTCCAGCTGCCTGCCTGTGTCAACACACACACATACACAGAGAGAATCCTTATTTGCATTAAATATGTATCATTGCACAGTTGCTACTGCCACTTTTGTTGTATTAGCTAACAGAGTGCCTAATGCTAATCTGCCCTAGCCCAGTTGTTCTCTATTTGCTTAACTACATCAGCTAATAAAAGGGTAAATGTGGTGATGCTGATATCTAGTCTGTCTTTCAAACCCCATTCATCCCTCATGTCTGGGATGTTTGGATCTCTGTGGATGGCAGTGATTAGCACAAAAGGTCCCTTCCCTGCTTCCAGCTCCATTTCAGCTCTTATTGTTAATTGACAATCTTACTGCATGTATCATCAGTCTGATTGAATTCTCATGTAATTCTGTCTTCAAATATATTGTATTAATATCTTGGACTTTTGGTCTTTTCACCTTTTAAAGTGTTCTTCTCAAAATATTTTTTAACTTTTGTTTCTTAGAAATATTTACTCACATATTTTCCCCTTGTCTAACTCTGTTCCTTCACTGATGTGACCTTTTCAGAAATCTTTTCTTGCAGTCTATCGGTGTAATTCCTAGCCCAATTCCTATTTCTTTATTTCTGCTTTGCAATTCTCCTTGTTTTTTATTACTTCTTTAAATGTTTGACATCCAGGTTATACAGGGATTTTACTTCTGACTAAAATGCACAGATACCTCTGTACTTACTATAAATAGCAGGGTAAATGTTCTGAGCTGGCCTTTAAATTCCTGCAGGCTCTGAAGTGAGTAAAGCATGAATCATGCAGGGAAGAGAGGTTCAGAGGGCTGCTTTAGCTGGAATATGCTCTCAGTGTTAATTTATTTAAGTGTAAAGTAACAATGGTCACATCCCCTTGTGACACTCTAAATTTCTCTGGCTCCACTTACACAGGGCTTACAAATGCTAGATCTATTCCCCAAATCCCCTGTCCAAGACTGTAGTGCAGAGGCAGATAAAATCTAGCTATATCTTCACAATCTTCTCAAATTTATCCTGACAGGTAGGTCTGTCATTCACCTCTGCCTCTCACTTCCTGCATCTTCTTCATATTGAAGAAATTTAGGCTGCTGTAACAAATACATTCATTGTATCTTTCTTCAGTTATATATAATATTTTTGATTCCTTTGCATAATTTTTCAAGGTACATATAGGCAAAATCTGCCCTGTCCCTGCACTAGGCTTTTTCCAAAAGGATGTTATCCTTGTGTTTCCTTACAAGATGCTCCATGTACTTGAAATAATTTTGCTTGTCATACTGGGGCTTGGGGGAAAGGGGGAGCTGACTTGCTTATTTTCTCTTCCTCTGGTAACTTGTGAGCATTGAATCAATATTAAAGAGAGGGGTTGAAGTATCAAAGATAGATGCACTCAAGTATTTGAGAAATTAGAGCCTGGGTAAAGAAAAGAGAGAAAGATTCAAATTTCTACCATGGAAAAGAAAAGCAGAACTTGGTCTTTTTTGTGTGTGGAGCAGCAGCAAGGAGACAATTAACACAAACACCCAGGTCAGTCAGCATAAATACAGCTTGAGCTCAGTCACTCCAGTTCACTCCATCACCTCCAAACAGACAGGGGAAGGTTTGAACTATCCAGAATCAGGACACAAAAAAAGTAGAATTCATTTCTAGACTTAATTTTATCTGCTGCACAAATATCTTCTTCGTAGTATGTCTATCTTTATCATATTTAAATTGTGAGCTTCTGAAACACACAAAGAAGTTTTTCAAAGTCTGTTTGAAGGGATACTGGTGTTTTCTTTTCTTGAATTTTTATTACCACTAAAATAATTTACAATAAGAAAATGCTTTTGTTACATAAAACATTTAAGATTTATTACATTTTTTTACTCTATTTTTACAAGCAAAATCTCTTATTGTGTGGAAAATTTTAAATATTATTCTGTCTCCATTAAAAGAAACCCACGGCAGTTGAAGGATTTTGCTCAGCCTTTTTGGTGTTTGATGAGGGGTATTGTATAATACAGACTTGGCCAGGAAGACTTCCTGTTTTAAGCCTATGACTTGATGATGAAAAAATGTCCTGTTCAGTCCTGAGACATACTGAGTGTTCAAATACTCAGACACCATGTGAAACAGTCTGCAAAATTCCAACCTAATTGTAAGTAGCCAGCCATGTTCCAATTGCTAATAAATGTTCATATTAAACTTACTTACAGCACTTCCACTATTACAAGTGAAACCCACCAAAATAAACATTGGGGTGGGACTTATTCTGCCTAATCTAGTCACTAAACCTGCACCCACCTTTTAAGCTCTTCTTTTAAAGGGTCTAGTTTTCCTGAGAATACTTGGAAAGAGGTAGGTGTCCTGCAGGCCTCCAAAAGGACATCTAGACTTCCTAAATTTGGGTTAATTTGGGTTCTTACATAGCTGATTAT